CCTGAGAATGTGGGGTGGGAAAAACTGAGAGTAGGGAGGCAGATAGAAGAGTGACACCCTCCCCACACTTTGCCTTGATTTACAGGCAGACTTTGGCTGTTGCTATGTGAGCTTGGATCATCTCTTAAACACCAGCCAGCCACTGTGGGACTATATTTTCCCAGAAAATGCTTCCTATGTAAAAGAACAGAGAAAAAAAAACCGAGGTTTTGAGGAGTACCCCCTGGCTTCCCTTCATTCAGCCAGAATCATTATTACCCCTACCCAGTTTTGTGCTTATGATTTGGGTTAGGCTGGAAAGAATAAGGGAATTTTGTAAACTAGCCAGCCCAGGGACCTACAGGACTCTGGTCTGATGGTCAACTTGCAAATGACATACAGAATCAGAAGTCAAGCGCTGTTTTCTGTGGAGATTTGGGCTATTGAGGTCCTGTGCTCCTAGGGGAGGGGACATTCTGAGGCATTCATTCCCTTTAATGCATCTCTCAGAAAGCTTCTCGCTCTCATCTTGGTACCCAAAGAAGCCAGTGGCTTGTCGGCTGGGGTTTGTGGGGAGTAGTGTCCCCAGCAGGTAGTTCATAAAAGAGAGGAAGGTCAGGAAGAAGACAACAATTTGGGCCTGAAATACCATGGTTGACAAAAGAAAGGAGAAATGTGGCCGGGTGCGGTGGCTCACGCCTGTAATCCTAGCACTCTGGGAGGCCGAGGTGAGCGGATTGCTCAAGCTCAGGAGTTCGAGACCAGCCTGAGCAAGAGCGAGACCCTGTCTCTACTAAAAATAGAAAGAAATTATCTGGACAGCTAAAAATATATATATAGAAAAAACTAGCTGGGCATGGTGGCGCATGCCTGTAGTCCCAGCTGCTCGGGAGGCTGAGGCAGCAGGATCGCTTGAGCCCAGGAGTTTGAGGTTGCTGTGAGCTAGGCTGACGCCACGGCACTCACTCTAGCCAGGGCAACAGAGTGAGACTCCGTCTCAGAAAAAAAGAAAGGAGAAATGTGAGTGGAGGGGGAGGAGTAACTACTGCTCCACCTCCTCACTCTCCTTGTCCCATCTTTTTTTTTTTTTTAGAAACAGGGTCTCACTCTGTCACCCAGGCTGGAGTGCAGTGGCCCTATCGTAGCTCATCGCAGCCTTAACTCCTGGGTTCAAGTGATCCTCCCCCCTCAACCTTCCCAGTATCTGAGACTATAGGTGCATGCCAGCATGCCCCACTCCTCCTTGTTCCATCTTAATGCTTCTCCTAACCCTCTAGTTCCTTTTCCCACTAGCCTTTTCCATAAAGGAGTTCTGGCCAAATGGGTGTCCTTTTCCTTTTTGCCTCAAACTGCAAAGCATTCCTCCCCATGCCACAGAGGTAGATCTCAAAATTGCAAATATCTGGGAGCAATAAATAGCATTTCTCCTCTGGTGTCTCCCCCACTAGTCTTGTCTGGTGCTCATCCCAACAGATCCTCAGAATGAGTCCTCTTTTCTTCCCTTTGAAGAACAGGGAGTGAAGTCTCTTCCAGCAAAACCATCTAATTTCAGGTCCCCCTCCCTGGGAATCTGCTCCACCAGCTCCTTCCCCATATGTAGCCTGGTCTTCTCAGGCAGCAGCTGCTTTACCCACACACACATAATCCCACCTCTCCTCCCATCACCACCTGGCCCTGCCCGGCTCCTCCCAATTCTTACCGCCACCCCTTCAGCCTCCTCACCCCCACCTAGATTCCGCAGCACCTACCTTAGGTTCCCACTCCACGCCAGCCAGCGCAACACCCAGAAGGATAGCCACGGTGGCCACGCTCGCCAATCGCAACTCATTTTTGGGATCCATGTTTGGCAGCTGCACCCCATGCTCCTGGAAGGGCAGAACACAGAGGTCACATGTATTTATTGGCTGATTTGATGCTTCCATGTGATTTTTTAAATGATTTGCCCGGACCTGAAGATTAGACCTTCCAGGGTTAGACTTTCCGGGGTCAGCAGACTTAAGAGAGGAACATAAAAAGGAAAGGGATAGGCATTACCTGGAGTAGGTCCAAAAGGGTCTCTGCAAAGCCTACCGTGTGCATAGCCACAGCTATGTCATTGGCAAAGAAGAAAATGATCTCAATGGAAAGGCCAAGCTCTAGACCCAGGCTGCGTGAGATCAGGAAATTTGTGTCACCTGACAGGAGAGAAAAGAGGAGCTGGTCTGTGGTCTCGGCAATTCCTAATAGGACTGGGGGGGCCCTAGGGTTAACAAGGTCACCACAGACTCACCAGCCTTGATTTTGCCATTGGTGGTGATGGCTGAGATAGACAAGCCAGTGGTAGTAGTGACTGAGGCCGAGAGCAGGACAATGAACCATGTGAGCCCTGGGGTGGGGAGGGAATCCACTCATTCATGCTGCACCCCCACATCCCTACCCACTGCCCAGGACAGCTCTGAGCTCATACCTATGCCCACCTGAGCAGTGATCCAAGGCAGCCGCAGGTAGAGGATGACACCCCAGATGTTGAGCATACAGTGGATCTGGGGAGCAAGGTGATGAAGGAGAAGCCAAGGTCTCCAGTGCAAACCACATCCCCTGCTCCCCTCTTCCTCAAAGGTACCCTCCAAGAATTCCTCTGAAGCAAAGTTCTCTCTTGCCCACCTAGATCCCCAAATTTTGGGAGCCTTGAGCTCCAGTCTGTTACCATGTCTCCCATGACCCAGCCAAAGTGCACTGGAGCCTTGTCAGTCTTGGCCCTGGAATTCTCTGGATCATCTCCTGTAGAGGTGGAAATCACACTATCCCCTGGCTGAAACAGCACAGACATGACTGAGATGCCAAGACCTCTCCCTAGCCAGCACGTCTACAACCGGGAGGATGGCTGATGGGCCCAGAGGGCAGTCCCAGGATTTTAATGGAGGCTGGGTGGTGGCCCAGACAGCAGATTTTATCCTACTTTCAGGAGTTTGCTTTGGGACATGGGTATCAATGAGGTGGAGCCCCACAGAGCCTCTAGAGATGAGTGATTGCAGCAGAGCAGTCTGGAGTCTATGGAGTTGGCATAGAACTCATAGCGGGATCCAATGTTCTTGTCCTTGTGGTCAGGTGGTGAACAGAGGCTGGCCCTGGGTGGAACCCAGATTGTGGTTCCTTCACTTCCTGGTGGGGGCTCAAGATGCTGGCCACATTATCTTGCAGAAGGAAGGCCATGAGAGGAGTCCAAAATGTCTGAATGGGGGACGGGGGTGCAGAGGATGGGCACTATCTCCCTTTTCACTGGCCAGGACAACTATGAGCTGCCTCTCTGTCTAACCATTTGAGGGAGTGCAGCCTACCAGCTAGGCTAACCTAGGAAATGATAGCTACCCTGAGTTCCCCAGGGTACCCAGGCCACAAATGGAGAAATGGAAATAGCTTTAGAAGCTGGAAGGAGTGCTTTGTGAGTCAACCCACCTTCCCATCCTCCATGCAAGCCCTCTCAGCTGAATTGTAAGGTACAATCTTGCCTCATTCCCTTATTAAGTCTGCTTGTTGGGTCAATCTATCCAGCCTGGGTCAGACATTTTATAGGCCAGGGAGTACGCCCCTAGTAGCCCTTGGCCTGTCCTACCTCCCCCAGAGAGGGGAGAGCAGGCCCATCACTGCCCCCGTCAACTAAATCCTTTCCCCAAGATGACACCTGAAACTGCAGCACAAAATGATTGCCCAGTTTTAGGGGCTTCAGCCAAGCACTGGTCTCAGGATGAGAAAGAAGGTGTTGTCCAGAGCAGTGGGAGTGGCTGTTGTCCCGCCTCGAACAGAACACCTGCAAGCCCCCAGCCCATCTAGTCCAGGACTCTGGTCCCCGCGACAGTGCAGATCAACCACATGTTCCACTGCCTGGTCCTTATCCTAGCGCCAAGGTGAGAGTTAGATTCTTCTGGACTCTTCTGAAGGCACAGGGTTGGATCTCAGGATCTCACTACAGACCCCACCTCTGGATAGAGAGGAGGCCCTGCACTGGGGGTGAGTCACCTAGGTCTGTAGCTCTGACCACCGCCCCTTCACCTCCCCCACTCCTCTGCCCTCCATGGGCAGGGCCGGGCTATGTTTGCACTTCACATCAGTATCGTTCACTCCAGGATCCCAGCTTTATCATTCACAGAAAAGTCAACAGCCAAAGCCCAGGACACACACACATACATACACACACTCACACACCCCTTCCCTCTTCTGGCCCAGCGTTCCTGCTGGCCCTGGCAGTCCAGACTTTCCTCACCTGCCCCCTCCAGCCAGCTCTGGTGAGCCAGCCCTTCTGGCCTGGCTCACCCCACCCAATCCCCTCATCCTCCTTGGCTTCTGAATTTGCCTAGCTCAGCATCCCTGGGTGACCTACAGATGGAAGGGTGGGGGCATCAATCCGGGACAGGGCCCAGGGGATTGGATGTCAGAGTTCTGACACCATGAGCCCAGCACCTAGCCAGCACTGGCTATAATTAGCAGACGCGGATGAGGGGCAAGTTCCTTCTGCAACGTCTCCCCAAGTGAGAGGGCAAGAGCAAGCCTCAAGTGAGAGGGCAGGCAGAACGCTGTTGTCTCCTGAGGGTGACTAAAAGTATGGGGCAAGACGGGAGGAGTATGGTCCAGGTTACTGGATCTTTGCACATCCTTCTTGCACGCTTTGCTACACTGCATGAACCCCATAGTTGCACTGTATAGCCCAGATACTCCAGTCCTGGCCCTGGCTGAGGGATGGGGGAGAGAGCTGGAGCAGGGGAAGGACTGACATTAGACAAGCTGGAGACATGGTTCCTCTGGGCTCTCTGGGTCCAGCTCTGATGCCCTGCTCTCTTGCCTCCGCTCACCTACAGCTATCCAGCAAACCCGGGCCATGAGCGTCTCGGACACTGCACGTTATCCCTTCGACCTGGAGAGTGTCTCTTCTCAGGCCCAGAAGGACTGTCTTGGACTCCCTGTGCCCGCTGCGAGAACCTCCTCCTGGCCTCCCTCCCCGGACGAGGGTCCCAGTGTGTCTTCCTTTCCTCGGGAAGAGCCTGGCCCCAAGCCCCTGGTCCCAGGGAACCTTCCATTTCCAGCCTTGTCCCTGGAGGAAGAGGAGGAAGAGGATGAGAACGGCGAAGACGTGGCGGAGCCCGAGGGGCTACGCAGCGAGGAGCATCTGAGCCAGTTTTTCGCGGAGGCACAGCGGCTGCGGGAGCAGAAGTTGTTGCTAGACGAAGAGGTGTCAGTCGCCGGGCAGGTATACGGGGTGCATCGCGTGATCCTGGCGGCAGTCAGCAGCCTCTTCCGAGGCAGGCTGCTGGGCTGCGGAGGTTCGCGGACCCCCTTCATCCTCGATGTGGCCCCGGGGGGCTGGGAGGCCGTGCTGACCTTCGCATATGAGGGTGTGCTGGGTCCGTCCCCGCGGGAGGATGTGCTGGCCGCAGCCGAGGTGCTAGGAGCGCCCCGGGTGAAGGCCGCCGCCCTGCGGAGATGCGAGGAGGCTGGGAACGCTGGGAAAGATGAAAAGAAGCCCAGCCAGGCAGAGGAGCTAAGGGAGAACCTGCGCAGCATTGAGCTCCTATACCGAGAAGGCGTCGGCTGTGATCTGAAGCTGGAAGCAGGCGGCTGCCAGCTGCGGGGTGAGGGCCTATGGGGCGTTAAATTACTGCAGGTGCACAAGCTACCCGAATGATGTGTGCAAGCAGCAGGTGGTTTGATCCCCATCATAGTGGTTTTGATCCCTGCTGGAGTCAGAATTTCCCTGGAGTGGCCTTTGATGCCTCTTCTGCCCCACTGAAAGCTGGGCATGCGCAATTGAGTTATTTTCCTAGGCGCACTGACAGATTTAAACTGACCCTCCATGCTCTGGCTTTTCCTGTGTCCAGTAACAAGGAATTTCCAGCCAGCTGGCTAGAACTAAGTAACAGTAGAACAAGCAGAATGTGACTGACTTAAACAGGGTTTAACCAAAGGCCCTTCTTGGGATCCTATTCAGGACACAGGAAAAGCCAGAGGAACATGGTGGAAAACTCAGTGTGTCCTTTTACCTAAGCATACTTGACACCATGGCGGATTTATGGGTGCTGTGGCTAATGAGCAAGGGCTAGTACTCTTTTGCCAGAATCTCAAGGCTACCAGGCCATGGCACTTTGAAGTTAACTCTGCTCATCATCAGTAAAGCTAAGTAGGGTTGAGTAAGTTGAGTATTATTCAGATTTTACTAACATCTAGTGAGATGCTGGGTGCCAGGAATTTTTACACATGACGTCTCTTTTCATTCTCACTGAAAGCTAGTGAAGTCGATATCACTATCTCTAAGTGAAAATAAGGAACATTAAATTCAGAGATGTTGTCTAGTGAGAACCAGGATACAAGCCCACATCCACTGGTGCAGTCTGCTTTCCGTGCTGTTATACCATGACACCATAAGACCTGGCAAGTGGAGTTGGAATGTGAACATAAAAGTTTAAAGTTATAAGCGATTAGTTTAGAGATTATCTAGTTCAGCTCTTACAATTACTGATGAAGAAATCAGACTCCAAGACATGTTCAAAGTCACACGGCTACTGCCCATTAGAGAAGTGACTGGGAACCACAATGCTTTTGGGACTCCTGGAAGGAAAATGGCCCCAAAAGTCTTTATTTTCATTTCCGATAGTACTAGATGAAGGGAGGATTTAAATTTTCATACTTATAAAATTCATACCAGGGTTTGGAATTTAAACATATTCATATCATTGCCTTTATTTCCCTAAGAAACATTCTGACTTAATGTTTGGAAACCTGCAAATCCTAGGAGACAGTGATGAGTAAGAAGGGAATACAAGTGGTTGTGAGCCCTTTCACAGTTGACTCTGAGCTATAGATTGACTGATGATATGGAAGCTGAGATGGCTTAGCTTGTTTCAAGGAATGTAGGATTATAGGAATTGTAGGATTGTAGGAATGTAGAATTTTCTCAGATGATATATATTTGAAAGCTGTCACTGATATTTACTACTTGGGAAGGAACATGTCACTACCTACTATTTGGATATGACATTGGAAAGCCATATCAACATCGCTTGCCCTTTGGGAGAGGCAAACATGCCACAATTGATCAAAGCAGCATGGAGTTCATAAACCTCCCTGGGAGCTTGGCCTCCTCTCTGACCTGCCTGAAAGGACTTCTAGCAGCATTCTCTTTCCCCCAACCTCAGCTCTTTCTCCCTCCCTCCTCCCTCCCTTTCTTTCTTTCTCTCTCTCTTTCTCTCTTTCTTTCTTTCTCTATCTTCCTCCCTCCTTCCCTCCCTCTCTCTCTCTTTCTTTTTTTCTTTTCTTTTCTTTCCTCTTTGAGACAGGGTCTCTCTCTGTCTATATGCCAGCTATATGCCAGTAACTGGCTACATGCCACTATGCCTGGCTACTTTTTTACTTTTTGTAGAGACAGAGTCTTCATATTGCCCAGGATGGTCTCGAATTCCCGCCCTTAGGCAATCCTCCCGCCTCCCAAAGTGCTGGGATTATAGGCTTGAGCTTCCACACTGAGCTTCCTCCCTTTTTCTTATGAAGCATTTCACATAGCAAAGTAAAGAGAACATTAAGATGAACACTCAATCATATCACCCAGAGTTAATTAAGATTTCACTATATTTTTCATCTCTTTATTTTTTGCTAAAGTTTAAATTCCATGACATTTCATTTATGTTTTATTTGTATATTTTTTCTTTTCTTTTCTTTTCTTTTTTCTTTCTTTCTTTTTTTTTTTTTTTTGAGACAGAGTCTCACTCTGTCACCCCAGCTAGAGTGCAGTGGTGCCATCATAGCTCACTGCAACCTCCAACTCAAGAGATCCTCCCTGCCTCAGCCTCCTGAGTAGCTGGGACTACAGGCACGCACCGCCACACCCAGCTAATTTTTTCTATTTTTGGTAGAGATATGGGTCTTGATCTTGCTCAGCCTGGTCTTGAACTACTGACCTCAAGGAATCCTCCCGCTTTGGTCTTCCAGAGTGCTAGGATTACAGGTTGTGAGCCACCGTGCCCAGAGGACATTTCATTTATAAATACTTGGGTATGTGTCTCTTTAAAAGAGGACATTTTCTCATAACCACAATACCTTTATCATGCCCAATAAATTAATAATTTCTTAATATCACCTAATCCACATTTATATTTTCCAACTTGTCCAAAAAGTGTCTTTTAGAGCTGATTTTTTCAACCCAGGAATCAATCAAGGACTATTCTGTACTCAGTTATATGTCTCTTAAACTTCTTTAAATCTAGTACAGTCTTCCATCCCTGTTTTTATGACTTGACTTGAAACAAGATTATTATCTTATAGAATGCTCTATTTCCTACATTTATATGATCTTTTTTCCCCTCAGGGCTTTGTTTAACTTGCTCCTTTAGCCTCTCAACTTCCTATAAACTTGACTTTAGATACAAAGGCTTGAATAGATTTAGGTTAAATATTTTGGCCAGAAGACTCCACAGGTGACGCTGAGTATAAGGTCTAATTGTGTAACAGCACTTGTTAATAGGACAGTTTCGTTGTCATGAGGGCCATGCAGATCACCAAGGTATTGGTACACAAGCATGTATGCTGCAGCCTGATGTCGCTAACAGTGGACAGAAATGATCTGCCCAGTCACTGCATGAAAATAATAGAATTAGATGATTCTGAAGGTCTCAAGTTTCAAATGTCATGATTTTATGAACGATACCAAGATGGGGAGAGAGTTATGCAGAGGTAAGCCGGGACACATGAGAAATCTTAAGCACTAAATTTTAGGCAAGAGGAGATGGCAAACAGATGAGGTTGGATTTACAGCCATTCCTGAGCGGTACCACCTTCCCAGCAAAATCTGACTAACAGAATGGCTGATGGCAGTGGCTCTCACAATTAGAAAGAACTTTATTATGTGTACAATTTAGAGAGACCTATGTAAGTCGCACGCTGGTCTTTGCAGTTTATTTTGTACCCCTCTTAGAAAATTCTGTCTTGTCAACTTAATCCATCAAGACTCACTTTCTAATTTACCTGGCCAAAAAGACTAAAGCAATGTTTATGAAAGTGCCTTCAGGTCACTGATATGAGGATCACACAGGGTGCTTGAAAATGTTAAAATACACATTCCTAGGGTCTCTGTCTAGAGTTACTGAATCAGAATCTTTGGGGCTGGGCCTCTGAAACCTGCATTTTAACTAGTAACCCATAGTATTTCAGTGCACACCACGGTTTGACCTGTAGCCTCGGGTGGTTTGGAGGGCCGAAGTTGGAGTTACGAAATCGAGATAGTGCCCAGCAATCTAGTAACACTTTGGGTCCTCCTCTGCTTTTTTTCTCCTCCTACAGTGCACCGAGCAGCCCTGGCCTGTGGCAGTGAGTTCTTTGGGGCCATGCTCCTGAGTGGCATGAGGGAATCCCAGGGCACGGAGGTGTCTCTACGAACCATCTCTACCCAGGACCTGCGACTCCTCGTCTCTTTTGCCTACTCCGGGGTTGTACGGGCAAGGTGGCCAGGCCTGCTGAGAGCTGCCCAGGCTGCTCTGCAGTACCAGAGCTCTTCCTGCCTGGATTTGTGTCAGAAAGCCTTGGCACGGGGCCTCAGCCCTGCCCGTTGCCTGGCCCTGTTCCCCATGGCTGAAGCCCCTGGGTTGGAGAGGCTCTGGAACAAAGCACGTCACTACCTCCTCACTCACCTGCCTGCTGTGGCTTTGTGCCCCACTTTCCCTTCTTTACCAGCTGCCTGCCTGGCTGAGCTGCTGGATAGCGATGAGCTCCATGTCCAAGAGGAGTTTGAGGCCTTCATGGCTGCACGGAGTTGGCTAGCTGCCAACCCTGAGACTCAGGAGTCAGAGGCCAAGGCCCTGCTGCAATGTGTCCGCTTTGGCCGAATGTCCACCAGGGAGTTGCGGAGGGTGCGGGCAGCCGGGCTACCCCCATCCCTGTCCCCAGACTTGCTGCGCCAGCTGTTGGTAGAGGCTGATGTTCCAGGCCAAGAGAGGCGGAGGGAGCCTGACCGGGCACTGGTGGTGATTGGCGGGGATGAACTCAGATCGGACATGGCCCGAAGACAGCCATCCGAAAGAGTGTGGTGGGCCCGGGCCTTCCGCTGTGGCATGGGACTGGTACGAACCGTGGACTGGGGGTGGCTACCTGCCCTGCCTGCCCCAGGACGCTTCCGGCATGGGGCTGCAAGCCTGGCAGGAAGTGAACTCTATGTATGTGGGGGACAGGATTTTTACAGCCACTCCAACACCCTGGCTTCAACTCTCAGGTATGAGCCTCTAAGAGTGGACAGGGTATGGTAGGCCCCAAGTCGGGCAGGTGACAGAAATTACTGACTCAGCCAACCACAGACCCTCAGAGTCACTCTTCCCATCTTTTGTCCTACTGTGTCCAGGTGGGAGCCAACTCAAGAGGATTGGGAGGAGATGGCACCTTTGTGCCAGGCTCGGAGCTTTTTCCCCCTGGTAGCCCTGGATGGACAGCTTTATGCCCTGGGTGGAAGAGACAATGGTGTTGCCCTCAACTCTGTGGAGACCTATAACCCTGAGCTCAATGTCTGGAGGTGAGCAGGCAAGGGAGCATCAGGAAGAGAGTAAGGGACTTGGAATAGAAGGAGAGTTGAGGCCAGGCACATTGGTTCATTCCTGTAATCCCAGCACTTTGGAAAGCCTAGGCAGCAGGATCACTTGAGGCCAGGGGTCTGAGACCAACCTGGGCAACATAGTGAGACCTTGTTTCTACAAAAAATTTAAAAATTAGCTGGTATGATGGCCCACTTCTGTTCCAGCTACTGGGAAGGCTGAGTTGGGAGGATCACTTGAGCCTGGGAGTTTGAGGTTGCAACAAGTGAGCTGTGATGATGCCACTGCACTCCAGCCTGGGTGACAGAGTGAGATCCTGTCTCTAAAAAAAAAAAGAGAAAGAGAGAGAGAGTTGAAGATGCCAGTTGCCTGATCTTGTGTCCTGTTCTCCTTTAGGCCAGCACCTGCACTTCCAGCACCATGCTTTGCCCATGCAGCTGCCATTTTGGAGGGCCGATTGTACGTGAGCGGTGGCTGTAGTGGAACTGGCCAATACCTGGCCTCATTGCTACACTATGACCCCAAACTTGAGAAGCCAGGGACACTTCTGAGCCCTATGGGGATACCTCGGGCTGGCCATGTCATGGCTGCTCTGGGTGGGCGGTTGTATGTGGCAGGTGGGCTAGGTGAGACTGGGGACCTGCTGAGCTTTGAGGCCTATGAACCAAAGACTGATAGCTGGACTCAGCTGGCACCCCTGCCCTCCCCCCATGTGGGTGCTGCAGGTGCTGTGCTGCAGGGGGAGCTCCTGGTGCTGGGGGGCTACAGTCACCGTACTTACGCCCTATCCCACCTTATCCATGCCTACTGTCCTGGCCTGGGCCGATGGCTCTGCCTGGGAACTCTGCCAAAGCCTCGGGCTGAGATGCCTGCCTGCATCCTGACACTGCCCACTGTGCAACACATAGCTTTGGTTCCCACCGTGCACCAAACCAAACCTGCTGGGTGAAGGGGGAGCAGCAGTGTAGGAGGGGGAGGAAGGGATGAGAAATATCATGAGAGAAGGACAGAGATTATGGGAGGAAGGAAAGAAGACTTCATCTTGATATTTTATTCTCAGGCAGTACTTTACAGCCTATAAACTGCTTTTGTATATACGATCTCCACCGAGGAAAAGGTGGTTCTAGAACTCTTGGGGAAAGGACATTGGGGAAGGGGAGGCAGCTGAATACCTGGGTAAGGAGAGGAGACCCAGGAGCAACGACACAAGGCAAGGGACTCTTGGTGGGGAAAATGCATCTGGTTGGGAAGAGAGTCAAGAAGTTCCAGTAGCCAAAGTGTGGAGACCATGAGAGGACAGTCAGAAAAATGATCCTGACCCATGGATCAAGGAAAAAATGTGGAAAGACCATCCATGAAAGAATTTGAGGAGTGTGGGAGGAAGGACTGAAAATTGTTCAGCCCTTCCTTTTCCCAGCACCTGATCCTTTCTACTCCCCAAACCCTGGGATATCTAAACCCTCTTGACAATGTTCTCTCTCAGGAAACTTTGTAGGCCCAGTCTAGCATTTCCACAGCCCAGACACCACAGGATTCCCCTGAGAGCTTCTTGGTTTCCTTCTGAGACAGAAGTTCCCATCTGGACCTGGATAGCACAGGGCCTGTGGGCTCTCCAGGGCAATGAGGTGGAGTGTTGTGTGGGGGAAGATGAAGAGGGCAGAAGCCAAGGGGAGAGGGGCCCACAGTGGAAAACAGATGAAATGAGGTTTGAGGGGATGGGGCGGAAGAAGTCAGACAGCTGTCTGGCTTCTTTCCTTCCCTTTGGGCAAACTGAGAGATCAAGAACGGAAACAGGACAGTTGTGGCGTGAGGTCCCAAGTCATGAGAGGAAGTGGTAGAGAGAAGAGCAAGAGGCAGAGAAGACTGAGAAAAGTCATTTCTCCCTTTCAGTCCATTTCCCCAAGAGTTTTTTTTTAAATCCATTTCCCTTTTTCTTGGCCAGGGAGGGTTGTCAGATGCTTCCCATTTCTCCCTTCCTCCATCCTGCTTCCCTGTTCCCCATCCCCCTTCTTTCTCTTCTCCTTTCTCCCTCATACAGTCATTAGTTACTTACCATGTGCCAGGCACTGCAGCAGGCACCAAGGATACAAAGGTCATTGAGCTCCTGATCAGCAGACAGACTTAGAAACAAATTCAAATTTTACAGTGAATTGTAGGTATGGACAAAGTCATCTGAGAGCCCAGAGGATGAAGGAGTGAACTCTGCCTAGGATGGCTTCTGTTGGGAAGGTGTCATCAGATGGGTGTGCTTGGAACTGGATCTTGAAGGCTGCCCAGAAACTCACCAGTTAGAGAGGGGGAATGCATTCCAGATGGAAAGAAGAAGTGAGTGGGACATGCTATGCCCCATTTCTCCATAGCAAAGGGGAAGTCAGTATTCCAGAGGTTCTCTGGAGAATTCTGCTGCTCTTGCCATCTACCTTCTTTTCTGGAGCCTTTCTGAAGATAATGGCTTGCATTTAACAATTGTATAGTCCCTCCCTCCACAGCTCCCCTAAATCTTTCCTGTCTGGTATTTCCATTTCTGCCCCTGGGCAGCTCAGGGAAAAGTAGGGTCAGTTCTTTGTGTAAGTCAATTGTCCATTACCACTGTCTGTTAAGATTTTCATGCTCCTAAGGGAGATGATGGAGCCTCCCTTCACCTTTCTTCATTTTGGTCCCAGAAGTACTTGACTCGTGTTTATTTATTAATTTTTTTTTGAGATTTCATTATTTTACTAAGGTTTTTCTATATCTCTGTTTAAGTTACACTAAGAATGTAGTTGAAAATGAGGAGGGGTAAGTAGGATATATAAGAGAAAAGAGAAGGAAGAATGAAGAAGAAAGAGAAGAAAGAGAAGAAGGAAATTAGACACGATGAGAAACTCTAAAGCTTGAATGAACTTCTGTGAACATTTTCTTTGTGATTTGTACCTAAAGATAGGCTTAAATAAACGTTTCACAGCGATTAAATCATTCTTATCTGAGTTTCTCTACTAAAAAAAACAGCATTCAAAATAAAATTCCCTGTAATCTGCCTTTTTCCCCACCACACTATTGAAACCACCTCCTTCCATTGTTTCCATGACCTATTTCTTACTAAATCTAACAATCAGTGGCCATCTTCATTCTCTTTCATCTTTCTGCAGGAATTGACTGGCTTGAAAACTGGCTCTTACCCTAAATGTTTCTCCTCTCCTGGCTCCAGAGATAGCACACTCTCCTGGATGGGCCTTCTCTTATTTCTCCAAGCCACAGGGGTGGCCATAAGCCAGATCATAGTGTCCAAGGGGGTATGGCTCCATCCCAGGTGGAGCTGATAAGCAAGGACACACAGGTATGTGGATGGGGGTGGTTAGTTGCAGAAGTTTATGATTTTCATTATTGAGTTTTAAAATTGAGGGTAGGTTGAAGAAAGAGAAAGAAGAGATTTCTGATTTGAAGCGGACCCCAGTCAATAGTCCATTCTTTAGTGAAAGGGGACTAGATATAGACAGGGTAACACCTTGGGGCTCTAGCCACGCAGACTGAGGTTCAGAGTAGTATTCCAACCCCAGAAGGGAAGTGGAGGGAGAATCAGGAATCAGGACAGAAACCATTCATGCAGACTGCACAGCCATGGTGGGGACCTGGAAAGGCTACTTTTGAGGACTGCTAAGAGTCCCAGGATTCTTATCTTTGGTAAATCAGATAATGAGCCAAGGCCTTTTGGGTGCTCCCTGCCAGCTCCCTCCCCTTCCCTCAACCTCCTTTGTTGATGAGGGTGGAATTTCTACTCTGTCTCTCATCTCTTTAAGATTGACTCAGGTACTGGATAGGATTGGACATGCAGGTTAATGTGTAGTACCAGTAAGTGTGTGGGACTCTACGCAACCTTTGTCTCCTATGCCTGATTCTGGGTTACACATGTTCTTCTTTTACTTTGTTTTATGCTCCCTGTCAGAGAGCTCACCTCTCCTCTACTGCAACCTTGACGATTCGCCTTGGTTCTAGTCTGATTGTTTTCAGTGGCCTTCACCTCCATTTAGAGGTACCGCCATCATTAGTTCGGATGCATCATGCTTTGTTGGCACTATCGTTTTCCTTATTTTCTAAACTTGAAACTTTGGAATCATGTCGTGCTTATTATTCCTTATTTTTTTACTTCACTTGATTCATCATGTAATTTTATTTACTCAAATAGAAATGGAATTAGTCTCTTCTCCCAATCTTTTCTCTGTTGAATATACTATATATATTATGCCCTAGACACCTGGATTGATAGCAGGATGGTTTAAAAAAAAATAGAAGGGCAAAAGTCACATGAAAATCCTACTAGCTGTGAAAGCAAGAATCATTACTTACCGAGACAGGTACTCCAGGCTGTAGCAGCAACAACATCCAACTACAAGAATGAAAAACTGCTAGGCATGGTGGTGCATGCCTATAGACCCAGCTACTCAGGAAGTTGAAGTGGGAAGTGGGAAGATTGCTTGAGTCCAGGAGTTTGAGTCCACTCTGGGCAACATAGTGAGACCCCATGTCAAAAATAAAAATAAAAAAAAAGAATGAGAAACGGCACATATTGTTTAATAGAATTATGGAATGAAGAGATTTTGGAGGTTATGTAATTCAAACCCCTCTTTACACAGGCTAAGAATAAAGGTATGTGGTATACAGTCTAGATAATGAAGAGGAAGGCTTTCATTAGAGTCGTCTCTCATACAGAAGGACCAAAAGGCTGGTTAGGACAAACATTACAGAGTAGGTCTATAGAACAGGACAGTCATAAATACTCTTTTTTTTTTTTTTTTTTTTGAGACAGAGTCTCACTCTGTTGCCCTGGCTAGAGTGAGTGCCGTGGCATCAGCCTAGCTCACAGCAACCTCAAACTCCTGGGCTCAAGTGATCCTCCTGCCTCAGCCTCCCGAGTAGCTGGGGCTACAGGCATGCGCCACCATGCCCGGCTAATTTTTTTCTATATATTTTTAGTTGTCCAATTAATTTCTTTCTATTTTTAATAGAGACGGGGTCTCGCTCTTGCTCAGGCTGGTCTCGAACTCCTGAGCTCAAACAATCCGCCCGCCTCGGCCTCCCAGAGAGCTAGGATTACAGGCGTGAGCCACCGCGCCTGGCCCATAAATACTCTTTCAGGATCACAGACTATATTCTAAATCCTGGCTAACTCCTGGGATCAAGGAGTCTTAGGTGAAAAAGTGTGAATTTATCACAGCTCCTGGTAAAATGACTACCAAAAAGATTATGTGTATATATACACATATACGTACATACATATATATCATTAGTGGCGAGATTATAGTCTTTTTTTCCTCTGAGAGATAGATGTTCGTGCTATTATTACAATAGGTGATTTAGAATATAATAATCTATATTAGAATAATGAAAAAAAGCATAGCCTTGAAAGCATACTGAGTTAGAATCAGTAACTTTGAGTTCAAGTCTCAATTCAACTGCTGCCTTCGTAAGTAAGTCCCTTAATCACCTTGAATTCCAGTGTCTTCTCCCACGAAATACGCATGATAACTGTACTGTAAATGCCACAGTGTTATTATAGTTCATGAGCCCCAGAGCTTGGGGTAGTCCTAAGGACCCCTAGGTGTGTTTGGAAAAGTGTGCCCTGGTAGTCTGTAAGTCAAGTTCCCAGGCCATATCCTTTTAGATTAGAGAGCTAAATGATGCCAAGCAAGGAGGCCAGAGTACTGTAACGACAGGTCCCTGAGACTGTGAACACCACACAGAGGGTTACAAGCTACTCCAGCCTAATGTTGCTCCTGAGAGAGGGATGTGAGCTCGTCAGGACTCCAGCTGAGGCCAAGACATCTAGGGGGCTACAGGTCCTCTAACTATATAGCAACTTGACTCATCATCACATAGGCAATCTGAGCCTTAATGCGTACTTTTCAAGCAAACTGTCGCTGACAAAAGCCATTCTCTTGCCAGAGTAAGAACTGCTTGTTTTAGATTATAGCTAACATTGTTTGTGCTTGCTGTGTGCCAGGCAGTATGCTA